AAAATCATTTCTCCTGATAAGATTAGGTATTTTGGAGGATGTGGTGACGATTTGCTTCTTATTCAGACTCCTCAGCCTTGTGCTATGGGATTCAGCGTCCTTCAGATGCACAGGGATTACTGCGGGTGGATTGTGAAGTACCGGGTCAATCTTAGATCCATTTTATCTGTATTTCCTAAGACACAACGCAAAACCATAGTCACATGCTCTGAATTTAATGTGCTGTGTGTCGTGAAGGGAGCGAATGAAAAAGATTTTACACTGGTGTTAGCTATCCGGGGCAAAGTTATTTCTTATAATGTCAAGTCCAACATATTGAAGGAGCTTTATGATTTATCAACAGCTGATCTTGATGATTGGCGACCAAGTTGGTGTAATACTTATCAATTCATTGAAAGCCTATCACCTGTTTGATCATTGTCCTACATGTTTCTACTTCTTTCTTCAGCAGACGGTATGTCCCTCAATAAACTTTTCAATGTTTCTATCTGTTTAAGTATTTGTTATTGTTAGTTTCTTGGTCTGTGATGCTATGCTACTATCATCTTTTGATATTTAGATTCTTCATTCATCAATTAAGGCTGAATTATCAATTTTGTTGTTTTATATGTGAGCCCTGTTTTGACCACAGTAATTCATTCACTCAAGTATCATTTAGATTGTTCTGATTACCAAAGAGGGTATGTTAAACTCATTCACTTTCTGGTTTTAATCTCCTAGTTATGATGCAGTTGGGTGGAATGGTTTAAAATGCTCTAGGAAGGAGTAGAATATATTGAAACAATCCGTTGTTTGCAACTGTCATTAATTATTGGTAGTTCCTTCTTGTGAGCGCAGGAGAGAGACTAGGCTTCTTCTTTTGTAAAATGTTTCTAGGGAATAAATAAAAAATTATGAAAAAGATCTTGTAAGTCCACATTGCCTCACTAGTTCTTCCAGAATAAAATGAATTTCCTTAACAAATCAAGAGATGTAAGGTGTTAGTTTACATAGGAACCAATAATTGTGTTCAAAACTGCGTAAATAACAATTATAAAAAAAATAAAAGAATATAAAAAGAGAGATGAAATATAGAAGCACAAATACTACGTTGGTATAATTTGATTTAACATGCAATTGCAATTTAAAAACCGTGTTCAAGTTTGGAAGGCTCAACTTGGTCTCTTCACTTAGTGAGGGTTGGAATCTGGTAAACCTGTTGCTTTCTCGTGGGGATGTATATGATTGAGCCTATTAATTTGGTCTACATTTGTGTTGTTTGAGTTTTCAGTTTGTTTTTTATTGGAAAATTTCAAAGATCAATTGGACGATATTTAGCTCCAGAAATTGAATATGATTGGTCCAGTTTGAGAAACCTGAATATTGAATCTTAGTTTTAGAACTGCAAATTGATTATAAAAAAAAAAAATAAAAAAGTTCCAGAAAAGTAGGTTGTAGTCCTTGAAATAGCATCTTACATAGGAGCTAAGTTCGATTGCCAACTTCTGCTAGCTGTAAGTTTTGGTATGTTTAGGGTCGTACTTTGATCGAAATCTCATTTTAGTCTTTAACATTCAATTATGACAGTCAGCATCTTACATTTTCACATTTTAGTTCATCCATTGTTTATTTCCACTGCCTGCAGTACTATTGCATCCCTGTGAGCCCTATGTGTCCAATTTTGGCCATTGTAATACGTCAACTCTATTATCATCCTTTGATCTGATCATCAAAGAGGGCTTGGTTTACTCGTTTCACTTCACGGTTTTGAAATTGGCCTTGGGAAACATCATAATTGATTAGGTTTTGATTGGTTGATTAAGGCTGGCATACAATTGATGTACATAATCCATCCATAGTTTACTTCCCATATAGGAGAGAGATTGCTTTCTTATTTTGTAATTGGATTCATGTTAATAAATCTAAAACAATAGATTTTTGTAAGACGGTGTTGTTGTTTCTATAGTTCTCCTGTAATTGGCCTAGGGGCAAGGCCTTGGGTATTGGGGGTGTGCTCCCTCCAAAGTTCAGGGATCGAAACCTCTCAAGTGCTAACAATTTCTTAGGGCCATCAGATTGGGGGAAAACCCTTAAATTCGTATATTCAATTGTGTATGTAATACAAGAGTATATCGATTTATATACCAATCTAACCTAGGATTGAAAATGAAGCAATCCCTAATATATACAAAATATATATATGATATCATATATACATAAAACCTAATATTCTCACAATTATTGATGATCGAGATGGCAACGGTGGAGTTTGAGCGACAACAACAACGACGACGACGACGACAATGGGTTTGTTTTTAAGTTTGATAAAAATCTTATTTCTTCACTACATTTGTAAAAAGATTAGAAGTTTTCATAATCGTTGCTTTTTTAATTAATTTTTTTGGCGTCTTTTTGTAGTTTGAATGGGTTCTTTGTGTGGATTTGTGGGCTTTGTCGTATTTTTCCTTTTCATTATCTTATAAGTTGCTTGGTTTTTATATAAAACTGCATTTCTTCATCGAAAACAAATTAGTTACTTATCTAGAATGTTCTTATTAAACTAATCGCCAATTAATAGTATTGTCCATTATTTTTTTGGTTATTAATGTCATTATTACCACGCATCCCATTTTTTTGGCAAGCAATCAACTAGTTGTTAAGTAATTTAACTATAACGTTTGTGATATCAACGCTATAAATTATCATAACTTACATGTTAAAATTTTCACTTCACCTACCACCACTACCACCTCACCTACTCCACTAAACCTAACCCACTACACCACTACCACCTCTACTTCACCTACTCCACCTCTCCACCTACTCCCAAACACACTCCTATATAATAGGAATCCTTGTAATTGTAATACACACAATAAACATATCAATCAATAATACATATATTTTTACATTACATATAATATACATAAAAAAGAAAAAGAAAAAAGAAAAGTGTATATTGTAAAAAGGCCCCTTTTCAAAAGGCATTTTTATGTTGACATAAAAATGTGTTTAGTTTTTAAGATTTCATGTTCTTGATTAAATCCACAACAATTCTTGTAAGGTCATTATATTTTTATTTTGCAAATCTTTGAAAAGATTTTTTCCTTTAACAAACTTCAATATATTATCGTACCAATTCTTATTTTATTTTTTTTCGATGCCTTTTTTTCGCTAATTTTTGTTTTGTTTCTAGGACAATCGATGAAATTAGAAAGCCTTGAAGGTGCAAGATTTTTCTTTCTTTCTTTCTTTCTTTCTTTCTTTTTTTTTTTTCATTTTTTTTATTTGCTCTGAATTGTTTTATAAAAGAAATTGTGAAGTAGTCTTACACGCCACATGCAAAGAATGTGCTTTTTCACTAGTTTCTGTATATATGATCCCACACATATATGTTAATATATATTATTTAACAAGCACTTTAATAGCCATGTGTATATTTTCACATTACACGCTTTAATGTTCGTATATATATTTTTACATGAGCTACTCTCACTCTCGCTTCTCTCAACTAATTAGTTACTTATCGACACTGAAATCTCATGGAGGGGTGCACGACTTTCTATCTCAGGAGATTCCCAATACCCCCTCCAATGACTTTGTGACAATCCTGTGAAGAGGGGTGTGAGACTTCCTCTCTCTAAAGATTCTTGACCCCCATTCAACGACTTTCTGATGCTTCTTCGATAAGCTCCAAATACACTTCTGTCATGTAGTAGATTTGGGTTTTTATGCATACAGAGAAGAGTTTGAAAGCTTCTGTGTAATTCTGACACAGAGTGCTTTCTCCTTTCATCGTTCTTAAATTTTGGGATTATCAGTACCCATAATGGTTACCCATTACTGTTGTGGGTGTTCATGTGCTTTGGCAACCCATGGTTGCCAGTGTGTGTGTGTGTGTGTTTTTTTTTTTTTTCGCGGCAGGTTTTTTTTGTTTGTGTAGGTTTCTTTATTTGGGCTTATGGAATTTGTTCTATTTTTCTTTTTTTTTTCTTTATCTTGTAAGTTTCTTGGTTGTTATCTAGAAAAAAAAATTAATTCCAAATCGACCCACCTAACCCAATAAAAATAAATACATATATATATACTTTTCTTATATTTTTGTTATTTGTCTAGTTAATTTTATAATTAAATAATATAAAATTAATATTAATGTTTTATAAATAAGCGAGTTAGGCAGGAATAAGCTAAAGTTTATCCTCCTAAATCCAACTTAAAAATTAAATGAATTTAAAATTTTAATTCAATCTAATCTTACAAATATCGAGCTTAATTGGGCCAGTGATGGGCCCATGAGCACCCCTATCCCCAACATTTAAAGCAAATGACACAGCAAAAGAATCTCTGGAAGTTTAGGGCAGACCTCTTCCCCTTCATGCTTCTTCACTTCTGCCTCTCTTCAAGTGTTTGGGTAAATTGTGGTCTGCCATCAACGGAAAACGAACATCACCGATTTGCGTCGGCTATTGTCGTCACCAATCTTCATGGCCCGTCTGTGTCGGCTATCTTGCTCGCCAGTCTTCATCGGCTGTCTTCCCACCGATGTAAATCTCTTCCCTTCCATTCTATACACGAATCAATGGATTGTGGTAAGCTGCCATATTTCGTAGATGTTCAACAGATTCGCCCCAAATAATAGTGGGTTTTGTTTGAATACAGTACTAATTGCTCTGATCTGTTAGTTTTTTAAGATATGTTCGCATCAACTCTATGATATGTGAATTTTAGGGTCAGATCTTTTGGGTTGAATGAAACCAAGACAGTGTGGGTGATCTTTTTCTTTTTGTACATGTTCACTCATCATCTCATGTACTTTAGAGGTTCATTTTCTGCAGTCCTAATTCACTTCTAGAGTAGAGATGTTCCATCGAGATATCTTGTATTGATGGTATTTTTGGGCATTTTTCTTTGGCTGTGATAAGGATAATGGTTGTGCTAATTTTTGAGTTCAGTTTAAAAGGGTGTATCTTACGAACATATGATCAGTTCATTGGATACTTTTAACAAATTTAACAATTTGTGAAGGTTTGATTTTTTTGGAAATACCATACCAAATTAACATTTCCCACTAATTTCAGCAAAGTCACTCTTTGGTGGTTATAATTTTCTGGGAGACACTTTACCAAATGATCTTACCATAGTCATTGCCAGAAAAGAAAAGCATACACTTTACAGCATTTGCCAGCAGGGGCGAAACTAGGAACTTTTTTCTGGGAGGGGCCAACATATATGTGTATAAAATCCATAGTTAGTTTTGATACATTACTAATTTAACATAATTTCTTGTATAAGCATTGGAAAAGAAGTATTTTACGAGAAAACTAATAAATGTCACAAATAGTTTTTCTCAGTTTTTAAAAGTTTTGAACTATTGATTAGATCTCACTATGCAATAAGTTCATTCTTTTAGTTTATTTATTTATTTATCAAATTTGGGTGAAAAATTAGTCATAAGCTTGATATGATATGGGATGCTCCAACTGCTTTTTCATCAAATTTAAGTAAAAGCTTGATTTGGTGAAAAATTTTGAATGCTCCAATCCTCACTTAAAAAATTTCATCAAATCCATTTTGAAAATTGGGTTTGGCTTCTCAAGTTCAAATCTCAACTTGAGAGAACTAGAAATGAGAACTTGAGGGGCTCGTGGGGCCCGCTACAGGTTATGTTTCAATGATCCGAACCGTTCATGTAGGGACCTCCGTGTATATCATCCATGAAAAAAATTATCTTAATCGGATAATGGTAACCTTTTCATTTTATCATGTTTGTTTCCGAAAAAATGGACAATGAGTATGTTTTTTAAAATAGACCACTCATATTTTTTTGAGACAAACACGGTAAAGGAAAATATTACGATTATCGGATTGAGCTAATTTTTTTCATAGATGATATATGCAAAAGATCTTATGAAATGAACAGTTTGGATCATCGACACAAGACTTGTAGTGGGCCCTACGAGCCACTGAAGTGATGCCCAACTCTTAAAAATTCCATGCTTATCCCCAAAAGTTTGTTTCATCAAATTTGGTGAAAAACTTATTTTTGCCTTGATTTGATGAAAAGTTCGGTTAAAACTTGATTTGATACAAATTTGATGAAACGATTGGAGTCATTGTCATCAAATTCAAATTTGACACTAGATTTGGTGAAGGATGGGAGATTGCTGTAATGAATTATAATAGTGACCAGAACACATCATAGTTGTAAGGAAAATGCTTGACTAAAAGGAATTCTAGCAGTGGCATTAATTTGTAATCAGTTAAAATAGAAAAAGTAATTTTTTAACTAAAATTTGGCTGAAATTTAACTTAGTTTGATGGAGATGCGTATTCTCTGTTCTTGTTCTGGGTTATGCACAGGGAAAAATGACCAACAGTAAAGGAACACTAGTTATTGGCTACAATTCGTCGGAACATACACCGGCAACAGAATTAATTGGCAGCAATGTAGATATTCTAACAGAGATCCTTACCTGTGTGCCAGCAAAGTTTGTCATCAGATTCAAGTGCGTGTCTAAGGATTGGTTCTCCCTAATCTCCAATTCACCATTTTCTCGCAACCACTCTAACCGATATCCCAGTGCCTTGTTCTCAGGACTATTCATCAACCCTGTTACATCATTTGACGATGAAAAAGTCAAGTCTGTCTCACTTCACGGCCAACACCAAAGTCTTCCGACTTCGTCACTTCTTGATGGTGTTGGATATGGGTCTGGTACATGTAGGATTGAAGACTCTTGCAAAGGCTTACTATTATGCTTGAATGGCCCAACGTGTTTCATTGTTTGTAACCTGACCACCCAGAAATACACAGTACTTCCCTATCATAGTGGCACTAAGGCATCTTCTGTACCATTTCATAACAAGTTTGGTGTTTTCTTGAGTTCTATGTTTGGTGGTTATTTGGCTTTTGATCCTTCAAAATCACCGCACCACATTGTTGTATTGGTAAGTTACATTAGGAATAGTGACGGCTGCTTTTACTTAATTGACATATACTCTTCGGAGAGCACTTCTTGGACACACATGCGTGCTGCTGCACCACCAGGTTACCCTTTCGCAAAAAAGGTATTTTGGAATGGTTCAATTCATTGGATGAGTTACGATAACGTTTACATTCGATTTGATGTTGATGCTGAGAAGCTAATAGGAACTCGAATGCCTTTAAACCCTAAAATTCTCTCCGAAGAGAGAGTTTGGTATTTTGGAGAATGCTGTGGCCATTTACTTCTTGTTCAGTGCTGTGATATGGGATTCAGAATTCTTGAGATGGAGAGGAACTACTGTTATTGGATTGAGAAGTACCAGGTCAATCTTAGTCCCATAATATCTCTTTTTCCTGAGATAGAGAGAAGCAGACACATGTGTGACCCGCCCATCATTAGGAAAATTGCTGTGCTATGTGTTGTGAAGGGAGCAAATGAAAAAGATTTTACGTTGGTGTTATCTATTCCTGGCAAAATTGTTTCCTATAATCTGAAGTGCAAGACAGTGAAGGTGCTCTGCGATTACCGAACTGGCTTTTATGAATGTCCTGGTTACAAGCACATTTCTAGTGCGTATGCTTTTAAGTATGTTTATGAATTCTATGAAAGCCTGTCCATTGTTTGAGCATGTCCTACATCTTGGAACAGATCAGATGTGCCTTTTTTAAGCTTGTTCTTGTCCTAAAGCTTTTGCAATACTCAATTTTTATTTTATTTATTTATTTAATTTTTTTTTTTAAGAATTCTACAATGTTTAAGCTATGCTCTTCATGTACTTCCTTGTGAATGTTAGTGATGCTCTCTCATTTGGGGATTGGGTTTGGCTTCTCAAGTTCAAATCTCAACTTGAGAGAACTAGAAATGAGAACTTGAGGGGCTCGTGGGGCCCGCTACAGGTTATGTTTCAATGATCCGAACCGTTCATGTAGGGACCTCCGTGTATATCATCCATGAAAAAAATTATCTTAATCGGATAATGGGAACCTTTTCATTTTATCATGTTTGTTTCCGAAAAAATGGACAATGAGTATGTTTTTTAAAATAGACCACTCATATTTTTTTGAGACAAACACGGTAAAGGAAAATATTACGATTATCGGATTGAGCTAATTTTTTTCATAGATGATATATGCAAAAGATCTTATCGGATTGAACAGTTTGGATCATCGATACAAGACTTGTAGTGGGCCTTATGAGCCACTGAAGTGATGCCCAACTCTTAAAAATTCCATGCTTATCCCCAAAAATTTGTTTCATCAAATCTAGTGAAAAACTTATTTTGCCTTGATTTGAAGAAAATTTTGATTTGATACAAATTTGATGAAATGATTGGAGTCATTTTCTTGAAATTCAAATTTGACACAAGATTTTGTGAAGGATGGGAGAATGCTGTAATGAATTATACTAGTAACTAGATCACATCATAGTTATAAGGAAAATGCTTGACAAAAAGGAATTCTAGTAGTGGGATTAGTTAAAATAGAAAAAGTAGTTTTTTAACTAAAATTTGGCTGACGTTTAAAAGTTTGATGGTGATGCGTATTCTCTGTTCTTGTTCTGGGTTATGCACAGGGAAAAATGACCAACAGTAAAGGAACACTAGTTATTGGCTACAATTCATCGGAACATACACCGGCAACAGAATTAATTGGCAGCAATGTAGATATTCTAACAGAGATCCTTACCTGTGTGCCAGCAAAGTTTGTCATCAGATTCAAGTGCGTGTCTAAGGATTGGTTCTCCCTAATCTCCAATTCACCATTTTCTCGCAACCACTCTAACCGATATCCCAGTGCCTTGTTCTCAGGACTATTCATCAACCCTGTTACATCATTTGACGATGAAAAAGTCAAGTCTGTCTCACTTCACGGCCAACACCAAAGTCTTCCGACTTCGTCACTTCTTGATGGTGTTGGATATGGGTCTGGTACATTTAGGATTGAAGACTCTTGCAAAGGCTTACTATTATGCTTGAATGGCCCAACGTGTTTCATTGTTTGTAACCCGACCACCTAGAAATACACAGTACTTCCCTATCATGGTGGCACTATGACATCTTCTATACCATTTCATATCATAACAAAGTTTGGTGTTTTCTTGAGTTCTATGTTTGGTGGTTATTTGGCTTTTGATCCTTCAAAATCGCCTCACTACATTGTTGTATTGGTAAGTTACATTAGGAATAGTGACGGCTGCTTTTACTTAATTGACATATACTCTTTGGATAGCACTTCTTGGACACACATGCGTGCTGCTGCACCACCAGGTTACCCTTTCGCAAAAAAGGTATTTTGGAATGGTTCAATTCATTGGATGAGTTACGATAACGTTTACATTCGATTTGATGTTGATGCTGAGAAGCTAATAGGAACTCGAATGCCTTCAAACCCTAAAATTCTCTCCGAAGAGAGAGTTTGGTATTTTGGAGAATGCTGTGGCCATTTACTTCTTGTTCAGTGCTGTGATATGGGATTCAGAATTCTTGAGATGGAGAGGAACTACTGTTATTGGATTGAGAAGTACCAGGTCAATCCATAATATCTCTTTTTCCTGAGATAGAGAGAAGCAGACACATGTGTGACCCGCCCATCATTAGGAAAATTGCTGTGCTATGTGTTGTGAAGGGAGCAAATGAAAAAGATTTTACGTTGGTGTTATCTATTCCTGGCAAAATTGTTTCCTATAATCTGAAGTGCAAGACAGTGAAGGTGCTCTGCGATTACCGAACTGGCTTTTATGAATGTCCTGGTTACAAGCACATTTCTTGTGCGTATGCTTTTAAGTATGTTTATGAATTCTATGAAAGCCTGTCCATTGGAACAGATCAGATGTGCCTTTTTTAAGCTTGTTCTTGTCCTAAAGCTTTTGCAATACTCAATTTTTATTTTATTTATTTATTTAATTTTTTTTTTAAAGAATTCTACAATGTTTAAGCTATGCTCTTCATGTACTTCTTCCTTGTGAATGTTAGTGATGCTCTCTCATTTGGGGATTTATGCTTGAGTCAAATAATTATCCTTGTTTTTGATGTTTTAGTTTTTTAGCCAGTTCTTTATATGAAAATTTCCAAGACCAATTGAAAGATAGGTAGCTGTGGGAATTGACATCGAACCATATCAAAGAGTTTTAGAGTCGATAGAAAATTACATAATGAAGAAATAAGGGAAGAACAATCTAAAACTCGTACAATTCACCTCATAATATTGCACATAGGTCTTATTGTTCGCATGCTGACAGGTTTCGATCTATCGGAAGTCAGGACCGCTCTTTAGGGTTCATTCAAAGAGAGCGCGACCCCCTACTCAACAATGATAACCTAGATATGCAATCCGAACTACTGCCAATAAAGAGAAGGGTGGTGGGTATAGAAAGAAAGGATGGTACAATAGGCCCGGGAAGAACTGAAATATTGGGAAGGGCTTCTAAAAGGTCGAGAGGAGGAGTTGAATCTTGCTTATTGACTTCTCCGGTACCGGGGGTGGGAATAGATGCCTTATCTCTGCTCGTGGGAGCTTGGGCAGATCATTGGTTTTGAGGAGTTGAATATGGAGCAAATGAGCCTTCATTCGCAGGCAGAAGATGGGGTCTCGGGTCACTATCAGCAGGTGGAGTGGAAGAGAGCTCATTCCCCAGAGGGAGGGGGCTCACTGTATTATATTATAGACTTCATTTCTGAATGCATGCTTGGGTCCGGGGCGATTCAAATGCTTGGTTGATGGCTCCTAGCCGGCTTGCTTCCAAGACATGGAGATGAGGATGGAAGGTCGCTCGGCATCAGAGGAAAGAGATTCTTATAGTTCCGTTCCGTCAGGGTCGGAAAAGAGGAGGTTCATTTGCTCCACTTCCATATAGCTGACGGCCCATCCAACTCTCCCTCTAAGCGGGCATCCGGAAGTCTACTTTTTCCATTTGGCCCATATGGAAACGGGTAGGATTTGGGTCGGGGGCAAAGGTCGAGAGCTTGGGATTCGATACCAAGAGATAGAGTAGAGGGTGGCAGGTTATCCCCTGCTTGGGGTTCAGGGATAGCCGGAGAAAGCTTGGATGGCATTCCTTTCTATATAGACTGGATTTCAAGCGATGGTGGATTCGGAGTGGAGCCGGTCGAGGGAACAAAAGCAGGACTGAGAGTCCATTGCCTTGAATCGAGAGGAGAGGAACGAAATCAAGGGCTTTCCATAGCTGGGCTCACCCGCCTTTGTAGCTCCCACTGGAGGGTTCAGAGAGGCATTTGATCTAGGAGCCTCTTCGCTGGTACTTCCTTTCGAGGGTCATATGCAGCAGGTTCTGGTGCTTCTGAGCCCGGAGTGCATTGCCTTGAGGCAGAGGGATAGTTGAGATAAGCTTCACTCGTTAGTTGATAGCTTCGATCCAGTGAGTGAAGGTTGAGGGAGAAAGATCTGCTTTGCCAGAAGATGGAGATATGGTCCCAAGCATTTTTATCTGGATATGGACTTGAAGAGCGAGAAGTTGCAGCTCTTTCATTCGTTCCTGATGCCATTGGCTCCCTCCCTTTGCTTTCAATCTGTCTTGTGCCACTCCAGCTTTCACTCAAGCCATTCTTTGAACTTACGGGGCGACCCTCACTCTTCCTCTCGCTTCCTAAAAGCTCACTCCTTTTGGTGTTGCTCCACGATCTGAAAGTGACGGAGATAAACTAGAGTGACAACTTTGTTTGGTATATATTCTTATTATCGGCCTCTCTTAAGCCTTTAAACGAGAGTTTGGATATACTCGTGACTATCCTATCCCTATCCGGCAGTCGGTACTCGAGGGCTAGGCTCCTGCTGTTAGGTCTGGGGCAAAGGTGTGACCTAGACTAAGGCTAGCTATCTTAGCTTTCTCTGGCAAGAACTAAGAGTGGACCGCGGATGCAATCCATATAATCAACTTTGATTCAATATTCGAAAAAGCTATATTAGCTTCTTAATAGCAATCGGCTACCTTTGACTGAAACTAGCATTTCGGGCACTACTACTCGCTACTCAATCCTAACGCAGGCAACTCCTTCTTTAGCTGTCTCATCAAACGCTATTAGCGTAGGTAGTATATCTCATTGAAAAGGAAGTTCTCACTCTTACTTAGGGGCTCCTAGTCAATCAAGATTAGACATCAACGAATCACCAAACTATCATTTTGAGACTAGCTAGTCTCAAAATGATAGTTTGGTGATTCGTTGATGTCTAATCTTGATTGACTAGGAGCCCCTAAGTAAGAGTGAGAACTTCCTTTTCAATGAGATATACTACCTACGCTAATAGCGTTTGATGAGACAGCTAAAGAAGGAGTTGCCTGCGTTAGGATTGAGTAGCGAGTAGTAGTGCCCGAAATGCTAGTTTCAGTCAAAGGTAGCCGATTGCTATTAAGAAGCTAATATAGCTTTTTCGAATATTGAATCAAAGTTGATTATATGGATTGCATCCGCGGTCCACTCTTAGTTCTTGCCAGAGAAAGCTAAGATAGCTAGCCTTAGTCTAGGTCACACCTTTGCCCCAGACCTAACAGCAGGAGCCTAGCCCTCGAGTACCGACTGCCGGATAGGGATAGGATAGTCACGAGTATATCCAAACTCTCGTTTAAAGGCTTAAGAGAGGCCGATAATAAGAATATATACCAAACAAAGTTGTCACTCTAGTTTATCTCCGTCACTTTCAGATCGTGGAGCAACACCAAAAGGAGTGAGCTTTTAGGAAGCGAGAGGAAGAGTGAGGGTCGCCCCGTAAGTTCAAAGAATGGCTTGAGTGAAAGCTGGAGTGGCACAAGACAGATTGAAAGCAAAGGGAGGGAGCCAATGGCATCAGGAACGAATGAAAGAGCTGCAACTTCTCGCTCTTCAAGTCCATATCCAGATAAAAATGCTTGGGACCATATCTCCATCTTCTGGCAAAGCAGATCTTTCTCCCTCAACCTTCACTCACTGGATCGAAGCTATCAACTAACGAGTGAAGCTTATCTCAACTATCCCTCTGCCTCAAGGCAATGCACTCCGGGCTCAGAAGCACCAGAACCTGCTGCATATGACCCTCGAAAGGAAGTACCAGCGAAGAGGCTCCTAGATCAAATGCCTCTCTGAACCCTCCAGTGGGAGCTACAAAGGCGGGTGAGCCCAGCTATGGAAAGCCCTTGATTTCGTTCCTCTCCTCTCGATTCAAGGCAATGGACTCTCAGTCCTGCTTTTGTTCCCTCGACCGGCTCCACTCCGAATCCACCATCGCTTGAAATCCAGTCTATATAGAAAGGAATGCCATCCAAGCTTTCTCCGGCTATCCCTGAACCCCAAGCAGGGGATAACCTGCCACCCTCTACTCTATCTCTTGGTATCGAATCCCAAGCTCTCGACCTTTGCCCCCGACCCAAATCCTACCCGTTTCCATATGGGCCAAATGGAAAAAGTAGACTTCCGGATGCCCGCTTAGAGGGAGAGTTGGATGGGCCGTCAGCTATATGGAAGTGGAGCAAATGAACCTCCTCTTTTCCGACCCTGACGGAACGGAACTATAAGAATCTCTTTCCTCTGATGCCGAGCGACCTTCCATCCTCATCTCCATGTCTTGGAAGCAAGCCGGCTAGGAGCCATCAACCAAGCATTTGAATCGCCCCGGACCCAAGCATGCATTCAGAAATGAAGTCTATAATATAATACAGTGAGCCCCCTCCCTCTGGGGAATGAGCTCTCTTCCACTCCACCTGCTGATAGTGACCCGAGACCCCATCTTCTGCCTGCGAATGAAGGCTCATTTGCTCCATATTCAACTCCTCAAAACCAATGATCTGCCCAAGCTCCCACGAGCAGAGATAAGGCATCTATTCCCACCCCCGGTACCGGAGAAGTCAATAAGCAAGATTCAACTCCTCCTCTCGACCTTTTAGAAGCCCTTCCCAATATTTCAGTTCTTCCCGGGCCTATTGTACCATCCTTTCTTTCTATACCCACCACCCTTCTCTTTATTGGCAGTAGTTCGGATTGCATATCTAGGTTATCATTGTTGAGTAGGGGGTCGCGCTCTCTTTGAATGAACCCTATCTCAGCGAATGAGATAGATGAAGAGGAAAGTCAACCAGAATACTAGTAAACCCACATCTCGAGAGAGATATATCGAAAAAATGAACTTAGCCTTCTGGGTTCTTTTGGCAGCCTATTACCCGTTTGTTTGCTTTCACTGACTTAGGTCGTGAACATTTCTCCAACCCGTCAATGAAATGAAGAGAAAGGCTTTCCTCTTCGATCCCATCCTATGAGCCCTGCGAGCTCACGAGTCTAAAGTGATGGTCAGTCACTTGGAGGAGCACGAGGGAAGCACTCCGTCACTGACTTTCATATTGGAAGTGTTCCTCATCCCCTAGCCCCGTTGAGAGTTGAAAACCTTCCTGACCAGAGTGCCTTTCACTCGACTTCTCCTGGGGAAGTACTTGTTCCCTTCACCAACCAATCTTCGGATTCAAAAATCGTAAATATAACCGATCTGGCAGTTGAAAATAGATCTGGAGAGTTGTTCACTCCAACGAGCCTAGGCGGCCTAGGTGGACTTTGTCCACTTCCTATCAAAGCTCGAGTCTCCGGACTTGAAGAAAATGGTGCCTACGAGACGGCTATGGTGTTGCACAGGAAAGTCTGTTGGGCAGCAAAAACTACGTAATTAATAAAAAAAGACTATTCTAACTCAGTCTTGCTGTTGCCAATCGTTTTCTCGCTCGGAGCTGAATGAAGGTATTTCCTTATTAAGTAAGTTCAAAGAATGGCTTGAGTGAAAGCTGGAGTGGCACAAGACAGATTGAAAGCAAAGGGAGGGAGCCAATGGCATCAGGAACGAATGAAAGAGCTGCAACTTCTCGCTCTTCAAGT